CGCTGAGTCTGGTTATGGCTTAACCTCCCACTTACAGACTGAGCTGGAACAGACTTTCCTGTGTTTGGTATGTTTTTGTTTTTTCCAGGATGTGTCCACAGAGGGCCACCGTAGCCGGCAGTGATGATTTATGTATTTGCTTACTGTGGCAGGGAGTGATTTATCAATCGCAAATATAATTAGTCAGCTGCAGCTCAGTTTACTTTATATATCAGTTCAACTCTCAAGATTTTTCAGTTGAATAGATATCTGTGAAAGCTCCATATGTTTTTTTTTTTTTTTTTAGGTTTAGAGTTCTTGTAGTTGCGCTGTGATGTGGTATTAAATCCAAGTCAGCCTCCGTAAGCCATCAGTGGTTGGTTCACTAGAGAGTCAAATCGAAAGCACAGTTCTGTTTCCTCAACTGAGTTGTGAATAAACTTAGAGAGAAAAAGCAAAAACTGAGGATTTCAGACCAAAAACTCTATTTTCAAAGTGGACGCCTTAAATTCTGAAGTGAAGGTTACACATCTGATCAAGCAAAGAAATAAACATTCAAGCTAAAAGTCAAACTGATTTTAAGAATTGATTTAGGTACGGTTTTATTATCATTTAATAATTTATTTGTGTCAAAAAGTGGCTGTGGTTCAGGGTCTGTGACTTTCAATGGCAAATGATATTGATCAGCTTCCATTTAATTCATATGAAAATTAAGCTAAAATTTTCAATTCACAGCAAAGTTAAAATACGTCAACAAAGCAACAGCCTGCTTATCAAGCAGGATTTACACTAAATGCATCATTTTCATCGAGGCAAGGTGAACTGGGCTTCTGTGAGAATATTCATGTCTTTTCCTCTTCCCTGAGATTAGCATTTATCTTTAGATTGTTTTTTTTTCAGATAACAAACATAAAAGGACCAACTGGAGGGATGGATGCCAAAATTTCTTCTGTAGCAAACTTGTCTAACTGAACATAAATGAAACTTGTCCATGTGTCATTTTACTGTTGGCAGGATTGCAAAGTCTAAACAACAACAAAAAAATCTTAAATTTAAAGAGACATGGCAGGTTCAAAGATGTCCTCCAACCTGCTCTGAAGGTAGAATCTCATTTTCTCCTGGAAGCTTTCAACAATCACTTTGGTCTGAGGTGTTATCCTAAGAATGAGTGTGAAGTAAATGTATGAGATGAATGTATAATTGCCTCCTCTTGCTTTAACTGTGCAGACAGAAAACATTTTTATTCATCTACAAATCCAACTCTAAAGATCCATAGCTGCATTTTCATCAACTCCATAAAAGCCAGGAGGATTGTTTGTCCATATGTAGTCATCCGAATGATCACATCAAATATAGTGAAAGAGGATTTATTTCACCAGATGCTCGTTTTATTACTACAGAGATTTCAGAAATGATGTATTTGTACCATTTAACTATCTGCTTCAGCAGAAAAACCTGCATTTCATGTGTTATTGCTCATAAGGAAGAGAAAAGGTGGCTGTCATATCTACTTTAACAGTTGCTATGGTAACAGATGCTCAGCATTGTTGTTCAGGTGTTTATTGTGTCAAGCAGACCATCTCATTCATGTCAGGTGTTGACATTGCTTTGTCAGTCATTCTCACTAAAGTGTAAAAACAACCATACGGCTGGCAGGAAGTTTGCAGAGCTTTTAACAACAGTGTGAAGAAAAACCTGTGAAATATTCGATTCAAAGGGGCACAGGCTGAAGTAAAAACAGGATCCTGATTGGTCAGAACACTAACAACAATCTTCAGTGTTAAATAGCAAAAGGGATGCTATTTGAGACAAGAGTTGAGTGGTTAATGGCTGACTGGTTATCAGCAGGTCTAGAAGAAAAGAAATGGAACAACAGTGCGGAAAAATTGAGGGATATTAAAACACACAAGGAGTTGAGTGAAATAGACATCAACCAAAGTGAAAAAGCAGACATAAACTAACACAAAACACAGCATGTTCTGTGAGTGTTACAGGACTGGTTAAATAAAAAAGAAATGTATTATTTTCTATAGTTGTTCGAAAAAAGCCAATATAAGAAAATACAAAAGATATGAGCTTTCTATGAGTGAAAATACATTTTAGATTTTGGCATGAAACAAAGTGCTAAACTTAGTGTAAAACCTTTTCAACTTTTCACTCAACTTTTTTATCTTTTTAGTTGGTTAATTAAACACTAAAATGGTGGTAAGCTCAGTTCATAGCAGATATCTAGTCTGCATTTGAAGTAAGCATTCCTAACTTACTGTCTAGTTTGGCTGTCCTGGTGGTTATGGAGGGTATAAAACTGCTGTTTTTAAAGACACGTCACTGGAGCAGTGTTATTCAAAAAGTCTATGAAAATGAGCTAAAAATAGCGCGCAGGTCAGAGTAAGGTCTCTGAAAGTTCTAAAGAGAGTCTTTCTCAGTTTCTGGCCCAGTGGAGAGTTAATGCCTCTCTTCACTTCAGAGTCAGACTGTCTCTATTACCATTCATAGGCATTAACATATTGTGCTATTTATAGACATCTCACTCTGCAGCTGCTCATGGGCAGGATTACAGAGTCATTCAATGCACAGGATTTACAGGTAACATTCTGCCGTCACTGCCTGCATTGCAGTGGTGAAAACTATGATGTGGATTCAGCAGTTCAGTTTGAAACAAAATGAATTTTAGTGGTACCACTGATGTAACTGTTTGAGTAAAATCACATAATTTCACATTTCTCGTTGATTTATCTTTACTTAATCTACACTGGATATTCTGATTCAGCTTGAAAATGTGCAGCTATAACTTTAAAGCACAATAAACAAGCTAGTGAGGCTGGAAGTCACAAAGAAAAGACAATTAATTTAGTTTTTAAGTGCTGTAAATAATAACACCTTCTCACCCCCGTCACGGACCTCTGGATCTGCACCGATAAATACATTTGAGACAAAACTATGATTGCCTTGATGTAGTGAACCATAATATGAAAAATGGCTCATCTTACCCCACTCTCCCCTACCTGACAAAGCCCTTTAAGTCTCAGTAAGTGGCCCATTATTTTAAGAATTACGGGCGTCTGTTTTCTTTTATAAAGAGGAATAATGCCCTTATATAAACCAGGGTTAAAAACAAAAGGCAGTGTAAAGGGCTGCTTTCTCTGGACTGAAACCGAGTGCATAGTATGAGAAAGGTGAGAGGTAAGTGAAGGCATCTTGCAGCGGTACATACTGCTTTAAATTTCCGTGTGCGCTTCCAACGTAACTGACGGAGTCTGCACGTATTCTACGTAGGAGTGGAGCAGTGGGGACAGACACAGGCAAGAAACCCTGTCTGAAGGCGGAATGTCATGTCTGTAGGCTTAGGACTGGCAACAAGTTAAAACGTACGGACGGGGAGAAAACAGAGTGATTTTCCTGGCACTGTTTCTTTCCAGCAGCTGTCTGCTGACTGTGGTTATTCCGCATTCAGCAGCAGGTGAGTCACATCGCTATTGCTAGCTTCTGAGCTGTGAAACATTTCCAGGGCTGTTAGAAAACAGTCTGCGTGGACAAAAGAAGAGTTTGTGTGTAAAACTCTTAAACTGGCCGGGGCACAAAAGAAAAAGCCTCCACACACACTACTAGCAGGTTGTGTGGCTATCCGCCGTGACAGCTCTGTGTGCTGTTGCGTCTGTGAAAATGTTTACATGCTGCGGCGCATGCGCGACTGAAGGCTGCGGCCGAATAAGATTCTTCGCAGTCACTTCCACGTTCCCTTGACATGTGATTTTACTCGTTTTTACTCTCTTTTACCAGGGATGTTTTTGGAGAGGTAGATTAAAGAAAGGAGAGGAAACGAGTTTGGCTCTAAAGTGGCAAAAGTGAGACGTAATCTTCTTCAAAGAGCCACAGGAAAGGAACAGAGCAGAGAGAGACAGCTCATCACAGCTGGATCAGCTGTCAGCTTAGTCTGCTGCTAAGACTTCAGTTTCTGTCAGGAGGACATAACGCTACGAAATAATTCAGTTCCAGTTAAAAATGCTTTTTTTCCCCCCTGTTGCTTGTCAAACAGTTTTGATAGCAGTATGCGTCCTCCTCCATTTCATCTGAAAAATGCCTTTATTTCATTTTTCATCAGTTGCCTCTGTAGTTGTTGATATCCAGATATACCTTTCCACCTTGGTGGTTTACAGTTTATTTCAAATGCAGATTTACAAGTCCAGAAAGTTTGCCTACATCGCTTAAAGCGAACATTTACTTTCATGCAGTCATAATAGCCCTAACCAGCTGAACTGCAATAAGTTTTACAATGAGTGTAAAAGAAATGGCCCCTTGCTTCAATACAAATGCACATCCAGTCTATTTAATGCAACGCTGTAGTGCACCTGCATCTTGTTGCACACAGAGATAAGCAGAGAGGCCTCTGTTAGACATGGGGAAGGCACAGTGAACACCACAATGTTTTGATTAAACACTATTTACAGCCCTGAACTCTGTGTGGAAATAGTAAATGGGTTCTACAGATGTGGTTACGCTGTTCTCTCCATGCCACTACACACATATTTATTCATGATGTAAACAGCAGAGGACCCCATGCATGGTGCCAAGCTGCTCATCGGTTCTAACTCAATCCCACAGACTCAAACTCCTTAATAATGAAGATGACTGTGGGGGGTGTTTGGGGTTTTATTTTCTTACCTGGAGAGACAACATGTGGACCATGGCAGTATGGAATTTACCCCCAATCTATGGATTAGAAGATGGAGTATTCCAGCACTGAGCCTCCATGCCTCATGTACCAACAGCATTGTTATCAAAAAACTAGTTTTAAAGCAACATATGGTGGATTCTGTGAGCTTTGAAGCCACACCAGGAGCAGAGAAAACTACATCGCAAAAACTACACCCCGCCTGCGATGTAATTCAGTCAAATCTCTGTAGTTGCCTCTGTGCTTTTGTTGTGACATTGATTTAATAGCATCTTTTTATGGTGAATGAATTTGGTTGTCATTTGAACATTTTTTTCCCCCCAGATGAAGACAGCGATGTTTGAAAAACATGTCTCTGAAAGAAGATAATGAAGGGAAAAAGAGGTACGGAGTATGAACAAACAATCAGACACTTCCAACAATACCTTGTGAGCCACTTGGGAAATCAATTCATGTAAATGTAATGCAACAGTGTCTGATTTAACACCTTTTTGACTTTCTTCCTCAGCCCTCATCGTACTGACTTGTACACCAACACCCCTCGAACATGTCTGCCCATTGTGTACCACCCAGACTACAACATCACGTTCATGGGCCTTGAAAAGCTCCATCCATTTGATGCAGGGAAGTGGGGGAAAGTCATTCACTTCTTGAAAGGTAAAGGAATGAGAAACAGAGTGGTAGATTGAGAGGACACTTCCCCGAGCTGATGTATATGGAATCTTTCAGAGTGGATCAGAGAGGCGAAGAGAGGAAGAGAACAGAGATGAGAGAGAGGAGAGGAGAGAGACAGACCCTGGAGAGAGAAAATGCCGAGCAACAGAGCAGAGATAATTAGAGAGAAGTCCCTGTGGGAGTCTTTTCAGGTACTGTAGATGAGGCCCAGCACAGGTTACTGTAGGCCAAGGGAGAACAGTGACTTGCTAACTGGCACAACATCACATGAAGTTGTTGTCAAATTGTGTCGCTGATCATCTTTGCCATTAAAAGTTCTGCGCACAGCTTAATGAATTCAAAAACTTTAAGAAGTTCAGAGTGCAAATGGAGAACCGAGCTCCTGCTGACAGAGGAAAAACCCTTTGATTTACTTTTATTTACGCTTGCACAAAAATCGGAGTTAAACTGGATGATGTTGCAAATTAAGCCGGTTTATTTGGAGCATATTCTGAAAGGAACTTATATGATAGACGCTAATGAGTCATCTGTGTTGCAGTCTGAGTTTGGGCAGTTTTTCAAATCATCAGTCTGAATAATTGACTTCAGATTGCTGCATTTTCCTTTTCTATGAAGCCACAATTCAAACCCATTTTATCACATCATATCATTTTAAAACTATATTTTTATGCTACAAGACAGTCTAACTGCACCCTGAAAGATTCAAGACTTAGCAGGATTCAAAGTCTGAATATGTACTGCAGGTTACTTTCATAAGCCGTCAGCTGTGATGGTGTCAAGAAGGCTTTGTATGACCTGGAAAAATTCAATGAAGATTGCTCAGTCATTAACTAAGTAGCAATCTTCACACAAGTGCTTTAAAAAACATAGATTTGAAAAACTGTAATATCCATCGTATTGTTTCAAATAATTTGATATTTTTGAATCAACAAAAATGCTAAATTTAGGTCTATTATTTGTTGTTTTGGCTGTGCGTTTTGAAATGTAAAGGTACTTTTGACTCTCAGAAAACAGTTCTTTTTTTATGTGGAATCATAGATTGTATAGACTATGGACAACTTGGTTCCTGTATACGAATTTGAAACTAAAAAGCTCTTGGTATTTCTGGGATTTTTCTTCATTTCCTGAAACCAGAGCTGCGCAGTAGCGATGCGAGCATTCGGACGTGCAGTCGCCGAGAGTTGCTGTGATGACGCTCGGCTCAAACAGCGTATCCCCCGGGAGAGCTACGCAATCCCTGAACGCCCATAGGATGTATCAGGTGTCAATCATAGAAAAGATGAACCCCCTAATAACTTTTAAAAACGGAGCTGTGCAGGAAAAAGAGGACTTGAGCACAAAACAGTCTAACACTAACTACATGTCAACATCACAAGCAGGGGGGAGAGGAATTTATGTTCTGTGTAATAAATTTCTAAAGTTTGTCCACAGCCCCATAAGCTTTGCTGGCGGAGGCTGGATTTATGACCTATACTGCAGCCCGCCAACAGAGGGTGCTGTTCTCAGAGTGGCTTCACCCAGCAAGGAGGCAGACTCTGTCCATTCTTTATATAGTCTATGTATGGAATACAATACCAAAACCAAATTTAAGGTTTGTTTAGGTTGACTGAATTTCCCTACAGGACACAAAACAGTTTATTTGGTTCTGCTTTTTAGTCTGACTGATTGAAAGGCCATCTTTTTATATCATCATCATCATCATCATCATCACCAACCATCATCATCATCATTATTATTATTATTATTATTATTATTATTGTTGTTGTTGTTGTTGTTGTTGTTGTTATCATCATCATCGTCATTATTATTATTATTATTATTATATTATTGTTATTATTATTAACATTTTAAGTATTTGTTCGTTGAAATATGACAGCTTGTGAATTTTTCAGCTTCGGCCATTAACCAGCTAAAAAAAGAAATCATTGCATCAGTGCCCTCTACTGGACAAAAACGACTGACTGGAGTCATTAACATGACATATGACCCCAGTACAACTTATCTTATCAGTTATCTTTCTGATCTATTCATACAAACCCCAGTATCACAGACAGTAGCTTAAGAATAAGAAGAACTTTATTAATCCCTGAAGGGAAATTCAATTCAATTAACTTGGTTTGAATGTGACTGACCTTGGTTTTGTGCTGGTAAAGTTCATGTCAACTGCTCTAATTTAGTTGTACAGACATGCGTGCAGATCAGTTTGATCACCAATAAGTACATTTGTATGTTCAAGTTCATTCTACATCATTTGTGTCACCCATAATTACAACATCATGCTTCTAGTCTCAAGCCCGCTGGAATGATCATGATCCTAATCACAGCTTGTGTTCCTCTCAGAGGAGGAGTTCATCACCGATGAAAACCTTATTGAAGCTCGTGAAGCTACTGAAGAGGATCTGCTGGTGGTTCACACCAAACGCTACCTCAACAGATTAAAGGTATCGTTGTTTTCTCCTCCTGCTGCCAACCTTCAGTCCATCACTCATCATGATGACAGCATGTTTTTTTCTCCTCCTTTGTTTTTCTTCTACATCTCCTCTCGATGCTTAGCATGTGCTGCGCGGTGGTTCAGGAATGAAGCTGATTTATAGTTAAGTTGACAAAGATGATAACAGGTAGAAAAGTGCTGTAGCTGAACGTGAGCAGAATCTTCTTCGGGCTTTTTATCTTGTGTAAATTTGAAACACATGTTGGACGGGAGACTTGTGTTATCACCTAGAGAAGACAATGATGGTGTGCCTTGTGAGGGTTGATGCTGTGCTAATTATGTCTAAATGCCATTAATTGAACTTATAACTGAATGGATTGATCAATCTGACTCTAAGAATCTCCAACCCTCTCCATTTAAGAAAAAAAAGTCACGTACACACATCATCATTTTCAAATAAAATCCCATCCACACAACACCACAACAATGTGCTGTTGACCACGGTTATAAGCATGCCAGACCTGGAGTTGGTAGTATTTGCCAAAAAGTTAGATTCATTCTATCCAATCAGAATAAGCGTCCCTTTCTCGTTGTCACTTCTCCAAACATGAAACAAAGCCCTGTGTGGTTTGTTCGTGTGGACCGACAAAGAGGTGGAGTTGATTTTAAGCATCTTTTCTTGCTTTTAAGACACAAAAAAGGTGGAGTAAGGATTATTTGGTGGAGAGTAACTGACTGCAAAGTACTCCTTCTTATTTGCTCCTCATAAAAATATACATTCTGTGTATACTTGTGTCGTCCACTGCCTGACAGTTACAAGGGCGCAAAGTATATGACATTTATCTATTTGTTGTCACAGTTTGAGAGTTTAAAACTCTGGTTATCTACGTCCACACGCAAAGCCAGAGTTTTCCAAAATCTTCACTTTGTCCAAAGTTTTCTAAAAGCACCGTTTTTAATGACGTATTCATGTGGCTTTGTGTAAATGACAGGCCGAACCGAACAAAAGTATATTCGTTTTAGCAGATACCCGGCTACATATGTACATGGCCTCTGAATTTAAGGACGCACAAAGTATGTGTGTACTCGGTCGAGTTCTGTATTGTTTTTTATGTGAAAGACAATGCAATAATGTTCACATATGATGCTAACATTAAGGGAATTCAACCCAAACTGGTAAATACACTGTGAGTGGGTGTTTTCCTTCCCTCTGATAATGTAGAGAGTGAAACTACAGAGCAGAATTCTCATTGACATGTATTTGGGGAATTAATGCTCGTCCAATCAATCGTGTCAAGCAAACCCTGACGAAAGCACCGCTGAGTCCTCGGAGTCGATAAGTCTATTTTCATTTGTTAATTAATGGGCCCAAAGAGTTTATAAGGATCTACATTTGTTTTTTCCCTGCCCAAGAGAAACTGGTGGACCCCAGCTCAATCTGTTGTGGACTTGGTACCCTGATCCGGAGACACCATGGTGTCTGTTTCAGAGAGCACTAAACTGATAACAGCCATTCCATCATGTTCAGAGACTTAGTCGTGTGTTTACTCTCTTTTTCCTCAACTGCAGACAGATCCATTTCTCTGAGGGCTCAGCAGAAGTATCACAGTATCACATTGTGACTTTGCATGATTTGTGCAGTCATGTTTGGTAGAAGAAAAGGGGCTCAAGCCTCAACTCAGTGTAGCCTATCATCTTTCTTTTGCCCCTTCTTTTTCTGCACTTCAGTATCAACACTTGTTTCAGTCTCTGCAGATTTGAATCACTCCAGGTCCATTTATGTTTTTGTTTGCCTGATACATCAGTGAGAAAACCTCCACACTCTGACTCTAGTGTCTCTTTTTTTTACCTTTCCTGATTCTTCAGTGGTCACTGGTGGTGGCAACAATCACAGAAATCCCACCCCTCATGTTTCTGCCTAATTTCCTGGTGCAGCGCAGAGTGTTGAGGCCTTTACGGACTCAGACTGGAGGAACGATAATGGTAGGACTCTCTGAACCTCATTTCCTTTTATGTGTTTTTTCCTCTTGCAGATGTTATTAACATATTCTACCCATCTGCTTCTATCTGCCATCATTTGTCAGCGGAAGAAACAGAGATAATAATCGGCAGTGTAGCGCTATCAAATAATGGAGCAATCCACTATTGTCTCTGTTACCTTTATCAAATAATATGAGCTCTGCAGGTGCATCTCAGATCACACATGCAGCCCCCCTCAGCACCCACCATCAGAAATGAATCATTTATCACAGACTAGTACAGAACCTTGAAGCCTTTCTTTCCAAGAAGCTTTATTTTCTGAATATTTCAATATCTGCTTGTGGATTTTAACTTCTTGTTACAATTTCATCTCCTTTGATAAACCTTTATTTAAAAAAATGTGACTGTGAAATTCTCATTTTATCTGGTTTTAAAACATTTTGGTGTCTGATGGCTTTGCAGATATTCGCTGGAGGGTCTTAAGAATACACTGCATATGCTGCTTTATCTCTCATGAAAACACCTTCAATGCAGCCACTAATCGATCATTTTTGCCTATATGCAGCAGTGACATCTATTTATACCGTGGAATAAGAGAGTTCACCTTGAGAAATGTAACATTTCCCTCAAGCTTGTTAGCAGATGAGGAGGCGTTATAAAATCAAGGTCTGTTTCTTTGGTAAATGTTATCACGCAGGGGGAAAAGGAGAAGTAAGAAGTTTAGTGCAGCTTCAAATGTCTCTTTATTGGTGTAAAAGCGAGCCTGAGGGGAACAAGTGAAGTCAGCACTTGTGATTAAAGGTCCACTATGTTGAAGGAAAAGCAGAAATGGTCTCTGTCAATATTTGTGGTTGAAACAGGGGCTGCTTTTACAACAGCACACCAGAGATTAAAACAAAACAGCCCTTAATCGGAGCAGAAAGCACACCCATCACACTTGAATAATGTCCTCACATCTCAGTTCAATGAAACTCAAACTGTAGTAGTTTTTCTCCTTGATTTTCTTAAATGTTTGTTGAGAAGTATTTTGTGAGATTCCGCCCCTTCAAAATCTCTTGATTGAATTTATTCTCTGTGAAGTTTTAGATGAGCAAGAGGGCTTCAGATCTACTTTTTACACAGTTGTAGAGAAGAAAAGGAACCAGCAGTTCGATTATATCATAGCAAATGACAACAAAAGCCACATGGTATTGTCAGGGGTGCTGCCAAAGATTTTAGGCACCATGAAAAGAAATCTTACTGGGCTCCCCACAGCCGGTCGTAAGGAAAATGTTTGTACTATTTTCTTTTTAATTACATTGTAATGATATTTTCGACGATCACTCCCATATCTGTGAATAGAACACCATGACAGTTACTTGGTGGGGGAAAGCATTGAAAATACACTTAGATTCAATTATTTGCTGCAAGACTGATACTTTATATTTAAAAAAACTGTCCCTGCCTTCAAATACTTTCACATAAAATCTTCTGGTGAATAATTATTTATTATTATCAATAATTATTAATTTTAATAAATAAAATGAGTGATACGTTCAGTGAGTAATGCGTTCACCGAACTGTCAGACCACAGTGTACTTGGGGAAGGATACACAATGAACATCCCTCACAAATTGTCGCAATGATAGGATCTGACAGTCACATATTTTCTCAAACTGTGGGTTGTAAACACTAGGCTACTTGTTACATGCTGTGTCTGACTATACATGACTCATTGCTGTAGCAATTTAGCAGAGTTTTTAAAAAAGTTAGTTTTCTCTGAGATACATTTGAACACAGCACGCCTATCTCCCTCTGTTGCTCCTGCTATGTGCCTGGTGAGTCTCACTTTCTTCTCATTACTGCTAAGTTTGTTTATCTGGGAAATAAATCTGTAAAACAACAAGGAGCAACGGTTGCTATGAAAGTGTATCCCTCAGAGGAAAATAATGCCCTCTCTCCCTCCACTCGCTGTCTGTGGAAAAATAGTGCTTAGCGTCTGTGAAAACAGAGCAGGTAGACTGAACCATTTTTCATAAATGGAGGGGGACAGACTTGAGAAATGTTTTGCAAAACACATAAACTTAGTGTAACCAATACATTGTATTAAAATATATGTGCAACTGTAAGTTTATGACTGTGTGTGATAATTTTTGTCAGTATAATAATTGTCTAAGGGGCCTCTCTGGGCCCCTGTCAATCATGGGCCCCTAGAATCCCTCTCCTTTTACCCCCTTTTTGGCGCCCCTGGATATCTTTTTCCACAGGATCCATTTGATCCAAATACTCATGATATCACAGCTAGCATAATCCAAAGAGGTCCTCCTCCCCTGAGTCTGATGGTTTGATGGAGTTGTAGAGATGCACTTAGAGGGCTGCAGTGAAATAAGCCCGGCACCCTCGCTGCCTACTATAAGTGCTTGTTTTCCAGACACAGAAAGAGGTGTTAGAGTCACTGCCTGAGTGTGTGCACACATGCTAATGTGTTATTACTCATCCATCAGAGAGCCATATTGGCATTTACACACAATCTCCCCATCTCATGTCTTCTCACCGTAGGATGAGAACATGTGTCGCTCCGGAGATGCGGCAGAGTAACGCTTCCTTTTTCCACCCGGAGAAAAATCTCCACCTGCTTTAGTGAGAGGCAGCTACTGCTGTGGATGCAACACACTGTACCTCTTACTGTGTTAAAAAAGGACAGCATGGGAGTGCTTCCTTTAACGTAGCCTGTATGTCTGTAATATTAGGATTTATGTTAGTAGATTTTAGCCATAAATCCTATTGAGTGTGTTAAAGCTCTGTGTCTATACTCCATAGACAGTCTTTGATTCGTGATGCATTGTAGATAAGCCCTCAAAGGATGAGACGGCAGAGCGACCTGCCTCAAATAACACCTCCCTCATGCGTAGCCATGCACACCAAGATTGAGTTGATCAACATGTGAAGCAAACCCTGCATGTCTCTATGCTCTCAGTAACAATGCTCTCAGGAGGAAGTTTAGCATATATTCAAGTTGTTAAAATCCTCAGGGTAGAGTAAAAATGTCTATTAACACACACAGTCACAATGTCGGTGAGTTTGCTCCAGCTGCATTTAAAGTAGGGCTGAACGATTTTGGCCAAAAATAAAGTCCAGATTATTTTCTCTGAAAACTTGATTTTCGATTTTTTATGAAATGACAACTTCACCAAACATCAATTCAATTTAATAATACATTTTTCTATCATCTCTCGAAATGAAACCACTGGAAACTATGTAGTGCTTATGCCAAGCCAGTAAGTGGCACTGTAACGCTGCATAGGACATGTACGAAAGACAGAAGAAGAGAACAGAGCATGCGTGTAAAGGTTGACATCCACACAGAGATGAGATGGTAGTCGTTCATGGATTTATGCACTCTTGTACCTGTTTTCAAAAAGTACTGTTTACAGTCACCCTTTATTCCTGAATTCGTTTCCTTGTGGACGGGTTGATACCATCTTCTGACATACTTTGGAACGGAGAGTGGTTTGCTCTTCATCTGAAACTGTGAAGCCATACCGATTCCACATGACTGACTTGCTCTTGCCCTATTTAGCCACAAAATTATCACCTTCCTTTGCAAACGCCATGTTTGTTTACACTCTTGTGCATGGGAACTGGGGAGCGCTCCAGCAGGAAGGGGGAGCCTACGGTGGCCTGAAGGCACGATGCATGATAGAGAGGAAAATCGCTTCAATGATTTCAATTCTTTTTAACATCGTCATTAATTTATCTGCTTACGGTTTAAAATCGATAAATTGTGCAGCGCTGTCAACTCATTCACAGTCTTGTTAGTTATACTGAGAAAAGCAGCTTATTTGAAGAAACCAGATCCTATCTGTTCACATATAGGGGTCTTCCAGGTAAATGCAATACAAAAAAACACTGAAGTGATGCAAGATGCAAGTAAACCGTTTCAAAGTGGTGTTCTGGTAGGATATACCAAGTAAAATGTTCTCAGATCAACGAATCCTTGCAGGAGCATTTGAATTTGTCTCTGTTTAACTTTGCTGAATAGGCTTTTATTTTGCTGGTACCTTGGCTGACCAGCTGTGGTGGACAGCTGACTCCCTAAGCTTTTCATATTCCCCAGAGACAAACAAACGGCTTCTTAAGATGTCTGAACGAGTGAGAATGTGAATCTAACGATAGTGATACTGAGGCTGGTGGTGTTTGTGTTTCATCTTCTGGCAGTTTTTAACGTCTCATTTCAACTGAAGCCGTACAAGCAGCTGCACCAGCTCAGCTTGTTGTGCTGTTTCGACACTGCATGAGTGTCAGTGGTAGCTTTTCCTGTAAGCTTTAATCATATTGAGTGAATGTGTGTGAATTATCAGGTGTTTTGATTGATTTTTGCAAAGTGAGTGACAAACTCAATGTTGACATTTTGAACATTGTAGGAATGACAATTAAGATACAAATTTAGATTACATGTAGAACACATCTCTTTATCTCACAGCACTCATATATATATATATATATATATATATATATATTTATCCAAGAGCAAAGTGTTCAATATAGGGGATGTGTAAGAAGTGATTTTTCTGAAGCTTCAAAGCTCCACACAGACGCTTCCCCCGGTAAAAATTCAATTATCTATCTTGGTAAGTGTTCATGTAGCGGATTGTTGAATTTCCCATGATGACATGATGAGATAATGTTACTTAAAAAACAAAGAATTTACACCAGTCAGGGCCCATGTACTCTTAAAGAAGGCACCTGATAAGTTGTTAAAATGCACATTTCATTTTAGGTCTAGGTAAAGGTGTTTGAGGGATGCCACGGTTTGAACCTTCTGAATACTTGACAATTAAATCTGAAAGCACTGCAGCGACCCCCCATCAATCCATCTTCTCCCACTTATCCGGAGTCGGGTCGTTGGAGCAGCAGCCAAAACAAGGAAGCCCAGACCTCCCTCTTCCCGGCCACTTCATCCATCTCTTTCCGGGGCACCCCGAGGCGTTCACAGGCCAGCTAAGGGACATAGTCTTTCCAGCATGTCAAGTCCTGAACACCTCACCAGCGAGGCGTCCGGGAGGCATCCTGATTAGATGCCTAAGCCACCTCATCTGACCTCTCTCAACACAGAGGAGCAGCGTCTCTACTCCGAGCCCCTCCCGAATGACTGAGCCTCTCACCCTATCTCTAAGGGAGAGCCCAGCCACCCTGAGAAGGAAACTCATTTCAGCTGTTTGTGCCCATGATCTTGTGCTTCTGGTCACCATCCACAGCTCGTGACCATAAGTGAAGGTAGGAACGTAGATCGAAAGGCACAGCTTGGCCAGCTTCGGCCCAGCTCCCTCTTTACCATGAGAGACCTGTGCCGCATCCACATCACTGTGGATGCTGGACCAATCCACCTGTTGATTTCCAGCTCCACTCTTCCCTCACTCCTGAACAAGACCCTGAGAGACTTGAACTTCTCCACTTGGGGCAGGATCTCATACCTGACCCAGAGAGGGCACTCCATCTTTTTCTGGCTGAGAACCACGGGCTACGCTTTGGAGGTTCATCCCAGGTGATTCACACTTGGTTGCTAATCAATCCAGTGAGAGCTGAAGGTCAATGGAGCCAACAAGACCAAACCAGACCCCCTCAACGTCCTGGCTGTGCCTAGAAATTTTGTCCATGAAAGTTATAAACAGGATCAGTGACAAAGTGCAGACTTTCTTTCTTTCTTTCTTTCTTTCTTTCTTTCTTTCTTTCAAATCCTTTGTTTGGCAGTATTCCTCAAACAAGGCATCAGGTCCAGGTTATGATCATGACATTTAGGAAGGACATCTTCACTGTTTTCGACTAAAAACAACTTTCTTCCTTCTTCTTGTTGACATTTTTAAAGTGACTGTGCCAGCATAGGTGTCATAGGTGCTAAATTGGAGGGAATATGCCCGTATCAGTCTGTATATACATACACTGTGTGTTTATGAAACATCCTTTTTCTTGAGTTATTTGACTATTTGCAGTAGTTTAAGGGCTGTGAGGTTCCCCTGCTGACACTTTGACAGCACTTGAACACATACATTGGCCGTCAATTGAAACCCGTGACCTTTGATGATAAAGCACTGGTGTGATCTCAGCAGGGTGGATGAGGAGGTCCATTATAGGTCAAGCAATACATTTAAAAGTGAATGCAGTAGCTTTTAACCCCGTAGCTGCTGCACAGAAACAAGCCTTTAATGTCTCTTGATGTTGTTCATGTAAATCAATTCGCCGACATGGTTGGGGGTTAAATTTAAAAATGAAGAAACCAACACTGGTGGTTGTTTCATACAGGAAAAGAGGTGTTATATCTACATATGAGCCCTGCAATGAAAAACAGCAATGAAGTCATTGCCTTGAGACACATTTCTAATTTCACAAAAGCTGCATGACATTAATTTGTTTCATTTCTTTGTTTGTGTGGAAAAGGTTATTTAAATTGAAATAGTTTTCCCCCTGTGAAGGTCATACTCTTATATCCATTTATGTTGACAAAGAAAAATTAATTCTAATGTTCTGTCCACAGGCAGGAAAACTGGCTGTTGACAGAGGATGGGCCATAAATGTAGGTGAGTTCTTAGTATGGATACCCTGAAACTATAATAAACAAACACTGTCGCTGCACTCAGCTGCTTAAAATCCTGAATGTCAGAGTGTGTTACCTGGTACTATCATAGTCTTAGTATCTGCACATGCTCTAAGGTTGTACTGTGATAGTGAAACAGGCAGTTTGGTCTATTACCTAGTCCCTGCAGTGTGCATGTTAAATTGAAGTAGCAGGAGACCCACTTTGCTGTAGGGACAAAATGATGTCAGATATCAGCAAAAACTCCAAGATCCAAGTTTTTGGATTTTGCTGTAATCCATATTAGCTTGGGAAATTGCAGAAGATTGTGTCAGTAAATCCAACAGTAACAGCTTTTAGAGGGCAACGGCTACACTCATGCTATATGTTATCGTCCTCCCCCTCAGTTTGATTCTTATCCTGAGAAATATTCTACATTTCCTTTTGAATCGGTGCCTTGACCGGCCCGGCTGAGAGAATAGGATGGTGTTTGGCTGAAAAGCCAGGGTCATCCTTCACTCCTCCATCCCCTGATTTAGAGCCAAGCAGGAAACAAGAAAAGCTGCATCAGACTTTTACTTTGTGCAACGTGCTTACTCAGCTCCTCCACGCTGTGTGTTGAGGAATCTGATTGTTCTGCATCGATAAACATGATTTTAATATAGATATAAAGGCTATTCAAATGCCCTGACATCTGCGTATCCCGCGTCTCAACACAAGCAGGACATTGAGGCTTTAGAGAGGCTGCTTTTGCAAGCCAGGCAATAAATGATAATCGTATTTCACCCATGGTCTTACTGCCCTTTATTAATATTCCACCCTACACCATAGCTTAATGAACATGAGCATAGCGGGGCAGAGGGGGCTATAACTCTTAACCTGAATTAATGGTTATCATCTCTGTAAAATTAAAATAAAGTCTCTTTACAGTTTTTTCCCTCTGTCTGCATTCATAGCTGCTCTCTCCAGGCGTTTAAGGAGCCATTGAACGGGCCATTGTGATGTCAGTACACCCATTGTTGTACCACAGGGGAACAGCAGACATTTTTATAAGCTGCAATAAACTCAATAACAGCCGATTTTAAATCCCCAATTATGGTCGTTTAGAATAATAGACTCCTCAGATGTGCTGTGTGATGTGACCCGCTCTGCCTGTCTAATGGTCCGAACATTGAGCCAGTGGATTTTCTGTTTCCCAGGAGGAGGCTTCCACCACTGCTCCGGCGACAGGGGAGGGGGCTTCTGTGCCTACGCTGACATCACTCTAGCCATCAAGGTGAGGCTGATGTCATATACGGTGTAGAAACACTCACTTAGTTACCCAGGTCAGCTGGAAACATAACTGTAATGGCTGGAAAGCACTCAGTAACATCATTAGATTAAAACAGGACGACTCCAAGGTGAAAGAGAAATCATAAGGTCTGTGCAGGAGTATCGTGAGCCAACAAACAATTTATTAATCAAACTTCATACTCTTAAATTCTTTGATCTAGTTAATCTCCAAACCTTATTGATTTTGTACAAAGCACATAACGATCTGCTGCCATACAGTCTCCAGAAGCTGTTTGTAATCAAAGATACGAAATATGAACTTAGAAGCACAGGTATGTTTACAAAAACACTAGTTAGGACTAATACAAAACAACATTATGTATCTGTAAAAGGTGTAAGTCTGTGGACATGCTGCGATAAGGAATTGAGGAAGTGCAGTTCAATCTACATATTTAAAAAAGCGTTCAAAAACATGATGTTTATAAAGTACAAGGAAGTTGAAGAATCACTTTAGACCGACCTGAAAAACTTTAGAGGGTGTCTGTTTCCCCTGATGGGTTTTGAAAAGTATTTTGTTCTTGTTCATTATGTATTTCTTTATTTCAAAATTTTTCACTGTATAGAAGAAAAAAAAATGTGTATAAAAATGTCATGAAAACTCTGTGGAAGGGGTAGGCGCAATAAGCTGATAGCTTCAGCCTACACCCTTTTTGGTCAAACCAAGTAATTAACAGTATTTATTATTTCTAACTCCCATGTATTATGTATGTAATATAACTGTTTACATGAACGGATGACCAAAATAAACTAAACTATAAAACTATGAAACTATATGAACATGTAGACAAGAAAAACACGATTTTCATCAGAGTAGGTCTTTAAGGATAACGGCTGGTCTAGAGGGAGAGTAAATACTCAAGCACTATTTTTTTTTTTTCAGTTTCTCTTTGAGAGAGTGGAAGGCATCTCCAAGGCTACCATCATCGATCTGGATGCTCATCAGGTGAGCCGGCACCATTACATCTGTCCCCCATCAATGGACATGAGTGCTAAGAGGCTGACATTGATGATACGATAGCCCCTTTTACCACCACACCAATCAATGAGGCTCTCTCGTGATAAATAGATCTCACTGTCATATTCTGGGGAATGTTTCTAAAATCAGCTCCACTGCCAAAGAGCTGAGAGCGTACCAGCTTTGTTTGGTTGTGCTGTTATAAGAGCCTCGAGGCTCATCTAAATATAAATTCACCACATGTATTTCCATAAACTGAACAGCCAGGAGATTATTCATTTGTTTCCATCAGTGTGTTGACCAGTGTGACTGTTTCTCAGTGGCTTTAATTACTGTGAGGATGCTGGAAGAGAGCTTTTTCAGTGTGATTTAAAGACTCTTTGTTAAAATTGACGCCGCAGGTGTTCACGGTCTGGGAAGCCAAGTTATTTGGAGCTCCCCTTACTGGCTGGCAGCAAGCAGTCAACGCTGATAGAACATGGATCCCACATGATTTTATTTTAAAAATAGCTTTCGACTATCATAGTTTTCATGTTGTTCTAGTGTAAATTGTTCTAAGCAGTTTAGGTTTAATAAGTTTTTTGATGTTGAAGAGTTGATTGATTGACGACTCTAAAGATGAACGCCGCGGACTTTTGCTGTATTTGTCGCTATCAGTCTGTTCCGGAAACCCGATTTGTACTGCACATGTGTAAAACGTATGTCACTTCTTCTCCTTGTATTTCAATGCATTTTACAGCATATGTCGTTAGTAGTGCTACCTACCCGATCTGTACTGCGCAAGTGCAAATTTACGTCACCCTAAAAACTTGATTTAAACTACCGATCGTTTTCAAAAACCAGCTGGCAATGTGACAGGCTAGCTGGCAGGAGGCTCCAGGGCTAATGCTGAGGTATTCGCCAAAGCTCCTGCCAAGCGTAGTGAGACCTTTTGAGCCATAAAGTGTGCCACAACCTGATAGCTCAGGGGGTAGAGCAGCCGTCCAATAACTGGAAGGTTGGCGGTTCGATTCCCCCCCATACCAAGTCTGTCCGTTGTGTCCTTGGGCAAGACACTTAACCCACCTTGCTCCCAGTGTGTGTCCTCCACTGGTGTATGATTGTGAGTGTTGTGTGGTGGTGGTCGGAGAGGCCGTAGGCGCAAAATGGCAGCCACGTTTCCGTCAGTCTGCCCCAGGGCAGCTGTGACTACTAAGTTAGTTTACCACCACCAAAGTGTGACTGTGTGAGTGAATAAATGATGTATCCAATGTAAAGCTCTTTGAGGGTCTCTGATGAAGCGCTATATGAAATCTGGTGCATTATTATCAAAATCATGGTTTTCTGACTTTTCAAAGTATCAAGGGAAGATGCTCTTGTGGTGAGTGGCCACCCATGGCGCACCATCCCCGGGCAAGGGAAATTAAAACCATGATTGCGATGAATGTAAACCATGGTCCAAAGGTCCCATAGGTTGTATCTGAGGCTCCCACCTTTTAATCTGGGTTGATTTTGGCACCCCTTTAGACATGTCAGTACCTGTCTGCTCCTTTTAACCTGTACACATTGAAACAGAGTCACTCAGTTATTTATTTATTTGAACAGAGAAACTCATCCAGCCATTATGCTAACACACTAAATTGTTATTCGTGAAGACTCTTGGCTGCCAAATGTCAGTGAAAAGCTGTTTGTCTTTCTGGTCTCGGGCATGAATAATCCTGTGAAACCTAATTCTTTGCTAAATTCTGTCTTTAAATCCATCTCACTATGTTTATGATTAATTGCCAATATGCCAAGAAAAACTCCCTCTCTGAGAAAATCTAGTCGGCAGTACAAGAACCTAGATTCTGATTGATCAGCGAAATGTTAGTGGACTGAGCTCACCACGGCTGTATCGAAGAGTGACTCAACACTTTTGAAGGTCTGATTATCATATTTTGTTCTTACTCTGTGTTTTTAACATCATGACTGGTATCCTCCTCCAATTAGCCCTGAGAACGGTTTTAAAATTGATGATGTCTCAAGGTTCCTGAGGCCAGTGGCTTTATTCCAGGGATGGAGCTTTTTATATTTTTGAGCTCCTGCTCAATGGTAATGATGCGCTTTTACCTGTTGACACAAACCAGGGATCAATACAGCTGCTGAGTAAATAATTCATGAAGAAGTACAGAAGAGCAAATCTGCATGAATGCATGGAGATGAGTCTCAAGAGCCCCACTCAGCAGATAATTGGGCTGAGGGAAATACTGGCGATAAGCAGTAAAGTCCTAATTACAGCCCTGAAACATGACACTTCAAGTGCTCTTGTTTTTACATTAATTGAGACTACAGCCAAGACAGCACCTCATTGATGATCAGGCAGGTTCAGTGTAGAGGTAGCTGCTGTGGAGGTACATTTCTACCTGTCATACAAAGAGTTTGAACTCTGTGTGTCTGCAGTGATACCCTGAAGATAATAATGTCGTATCTCTTGTCAATAGGAGTTTGTGTCAAAGCAGATGTGTACATCATTAGGGCTGCATACTCACCGATATCTGAGGTTTGGATCATTAACAAATTGCAGTGTGGGATTTAAGTAAACCCAAAAGTAATTAACTTCAGAAACAAAGACACAGTAAATGAGATAAATCCTTTAAATGGTTGTGAATAATTTTAAGTTTTGTCTAAGGAAAGAGAATCAAGTCAACAGCAACTTTTGTTTTGATTTCTGTTCACTTGCTCCAGACTGAAGTGAACTTTTCCCCCTCACATCACCCGACTCTCAGGAGAATTTGTGAGTAAATCGCAAAAAAGCATCCTCATTGATCCTCCGTTGACGTGATGTGCTGCCTACATGTCAAGAAAAGTGTGGTCATTTGGAGGTTTTTAAGAGGCATCAGTGTTTCTGATGTGTTTGTGCGAAAGCTGAACATATTATTTCACAAACTTTTCTGTCAGGCCACCAATGTCTTTATGAATCATCTCTTTGTTCCCCAGCCGCTAATAATCAGTCCCTCCGCGTTGGTCCATATATCCATGACTATTTCTTGAATATGTTCATTTATGTTCAGCCTTTGTTTGCTGCTTTTTTGTGAAAAATAAAGTGGCACTTTTCATACTGCATATCTCTTTCCCTTTTGATTGTTCTTTAATGGATAGAAAAAAAAGATGTATTAGATATTGAATACAGATATTTGAACTCTGTAAAGGAGATAAAAGGAAGAATGTTTGAAAGCAGGACAACAGGCTTTTGGCTGACACTAACAAATGGCAGTGAAACAACAATCTTTTATTGTAACATATGCTGGGGAGAGGATAAGACTAATAAGACTGCAGGCAGCTTATGAGCTGATTTATAGTCTCAGACTGCCTTTCCGAAGCACACCGGAGCAGAGAAATCACTCACATGTTCGTTCAGTCATTTTCTGATGGAAACTTGTATCTACCTGATAGTTACTGTTTTATCCATACAGTACAAATGAAAAACAATACAAAGCTTAGGGTGGTCTAAAGTATCTATAATGAAGCACCAGCTGTAATCCAAGCTATGATGGGGTGCTGTATCAATACTTAATGTAGCACACTATGATTATGACAGCACCGCTCTCTGCCAAGAGACTAGCTAACCAACCCCGACCATTGGCTCTTTGGTCTTAAGGCTAAAACATACAGGATCCGTATTGGAGCTGGGAATGACGTTACACCCGAGTTGATTTCAGTTAACAAGTTGGAAAACCAAGATGGACGCCAACTGTTAGCCATTGTAAGCTGTCGTTAGCCGTTGTTAGCTGTTGTTAGCCGCTTTTAGTTGTAGCTATCCCAGTTGTAAACAACTTATAACACAGTATTTTACTCTCACAAACACAATAGCACCGTGTTCACAGTTAGACGTTGTAAAACATATACAACATATACCACATATTTAATTTCACAACAACAAAACAGAAGTGCTCATAAATAATGCATTATGAGAGCTTTCACTGTTACTCACCATTGTTGATGCACTGCGATGCCATCTTGGATTATGACGTTGTCGTCAAGCCGGGGTTGGTGAGGATCGTCCGACTTTCTGAGATGAAAATCTGATCTCCGGGGTCGTTCCAGTTGAAAGTTCCAGCTCGGAGCTCAGAAATCCCGACTTCAGAGTACAACTGGAAGCCACCATGAATCCTAACACAAACAGACACAATACTGGTTGAAATAATACTATATTATATATAATAATAATAAAATACTGGTTAAATGAAGGCACCAACTGCAAATGCCTTAGTTGTCTTCCAGCACAAAGATGTTGCAGTATGTGTTTGTGGGGATTTGGACGAAATCGACCAAGTTACCCTACTCATTGATAGTGAGAAGAGCTGCAAAAGTGATAAACGAACAAACGCCTGCAGATAAGCTTTTTGGCCCACCTTCACCAGCAGGGCAGACTAATAGATGAGAGGGAGTGGGTTCATCCATCTGACTGTCCCACTCTGTGCTACACAGAACGACAACAGCAACAGCAAGAGGGGTGCCAAACAAGAGTCTATGGGCTGAAATCTGGTCCGTTCTGGATCAGCATTAAAAAAAGAGTGATTCAGTGAGAAGTAAAGCAGTTCAGTCAGTATTAGTGTAACTTAAACGAAGTAAAACTTTTTACTACATGAAAAACTCCTGAACTTTATTGAATCCCTACAGACCTCTGAAGGCAGCAGGACACATGATGTGCTATATCTGCCAATGTGTGTCAAAGATCAGTGTTATTATTACCCACAAATGTTCACTGTGTTTACCTTCAGTACATCATGAGTGAGTGACAGCAGGCTTCTACAGAGTGACCACACACTCTCTGCACACATGGCAACAGTGGGCTGATAGTGTGCCGTATGAGCTTCAACACTTTTGATCTTCTTTACAAGCTTCTTGAAGAAGAAACTCTGTTCATGTCCCACTGCTGAACTGCATTTAAAAACAAAAGCTAAAGTAAGGATGTAAGTAATAAATGGAATTATAAATAATGTACCAAGATGCTCTTTGTCCACAATTTTCTCTCCTGCTTCATTCAGATATTGATCAAATATCCTGAAACAGTGTATTTCTCTTAGTTCGGATGTTGTCATCCAGTGTCTTTGGGATTGACCCAAACACTGGCCCAACATCAATCAATCAATCAATCACTCTTATTTATATAGCCCTTTTCATACACAACCATGTAGCACAAAGTGCTTTACACAGCAGAGGAATAAGAGAAACAAAGAATACCCAGATCTAACCCAACCCAACCTTCACACTCCCAACCCACGATCTAAGCACAACAGAAATATGGAAAAGGGCTCGATTTCATAAAAACAGGAATGTGCTCACCGAGGAAATGCCATTTTAAAATTCAATATAACAAAAAGCCACTCTATAGCCAGAAATAATAATACATTAATAATCATTACTTCAAGGAAATGTTCTTCCTTGAGCTGCGAAACTCCGCTGCACTCGGTGATCAACTCGTCAGGGCTCCCCTACAAACAAGCGGCTGCTGGAGGAGAGTGGGTGAGTTGTGTTTAGTCTCTTTGCCAAAGAAATCAGGCAAAGCTAAAAAGATGTTTGGTGGCAAGTGCTATGGCTGGGACCCTATATGTACTGTTGATGAAGTTAGGTGCTGTTCTGAGCATTATTTGTGGCTTTTTGGTTGAGGTTAGCACGTGGAGACATAGACCGCTGTGTATTGGTATCGTGCGCTTGTTACTAAAGTTAGTATAACTAGAGAAGCAAGCAGTCGGCAACATCCATCACTCGAGGGGATGTCTAACTCGGTGTTATGGTGTATTTGACCATAAATTAAATTTACGCCTGAATATCCCTTTAACTCCACTTAGCTCTGAATGAAAAAACAAAAACAATGTTAATAGATGAGAAATTTAGCACCCTAGTGTCTTTGAGTTTAGCTTGAAATGAAAGCCAGGTGGTCACAGCCAACGTCTGCATACTTCCAGCTTTGGATTTTCCTCTGCCGTTTTCCAGTTTTAAGGATGAGCGTTGACTCTCACCTTCGTATACTTGCTTCACAGACACCTCATGATCACATCACTGCTACAAATCTTCCTCCCCAACTATCAGTAAAAAAGAAAATATAAAAGTATGTCATGGCCTTATGTAAATTGATCCATTTCTAAGGAAAACTGGTCTTTTTTAATTAATCATTGGCTCCACAGTCTGTGATGTACAGCTGACACCAAACTGTTATACTTGTCCGAATTTCATCCTTCTCATCAAGTTCATACCAAACTTGGCTGAGAGCCTAATCCCCTCCTGACAGCAGCCAGACACTTTGGGTGACAAATGTAAGACAGGAAATGAAAAACGATGGAGTAACAATGGATTCCTAGAGGTTTGTATTATTTTTTCAAAACATTTAATACATAAAAGCGACAAGCCTATTTATCTCTGGTCTGCTGCTGTCAGTCATTTCACTGGAGTCTCAGGTAAACAGGCAGGTCTGAGTGACACTTGTGGGCCTTGGTACTGTTGTGTAATGTAGCAGACTGTCAAACTGCTGTGAGTTACTGACTGTTTTCTATTACACAAGAATAAGGGATCATCAGCGGAGAAAAGGTCAATCTTTGATTCAGTTCGTCATAGCTGGATTACCTTTGAAGAAGCAGAGAAGGCGTCAAAGTACTTTCTAGTCTTTTTTAACTCATCTGCTTTTTTGTAGGGAAATGGACACGAGCGAGATTTCTTGGGCGACAAGAGAGTGTTCATCATGGATATGTACAATCGGTATATTTATCCTGGGGATACATATGCCAAAAGTGAGTGAAAGAAGCTTACTTTTGATTGAAATACTTGTGCAAATTTTTTATTTCTTACATATGGAAGCATATTGCATTCATTTACCAAAAAGAAAAATAAGGAAACTGTTTCCAAATCAGCGGAATCTCCAGCTCCTAGATAACTTTGACCACGGGGTCAATGAGAGTAAAGCATGTTATTACTGAAACATAGGGTTTGCAAATCTTGAGGTGCCTTTGCAGAGTAGAAAAACTTGAAGAAAGTCAAACTTGGTTAAACTAAACAAGTGGGCCATGTTTGCTTCCAATAATCAAGCAAAGGGGGATGAAAGCATCAGCTTTTAAATGATGATGTTTCCAGGGAATAGGAAAAAAAATTAGTCTGACAAAAAAAAAAGAAAAATTCCGAAAAGTAGAAAAAAATGTGTCCAAAGAACAGAACAAAACAGAACAAAATCGTCTGAAAAACAGAGTTTTATTTATTTTTATTTTTTACTTTTTTGGTGAATGTTCTACGCTTCTGTTCTTACATACTTTAGCTAAACGTTAAAGTTATATTGTTTGGATATTTTTTACACGTGACACTCTGCTGCATGAACGCTGTTCCTCATGCCTGGGTGGGTGTTAAGGCTTGTTGGTCATCTCTCTGGGCTGTTTTAGTTCTGCTGTAATTGTGTTTCTCTCTGCACCAGAGCTCACTATTAGCTCACAGCAGGATATCTGTCATGCAGCGATCTATGCTAGACAATAATCAAGGCTTTTACACAAATGAATGTGCCAATACATTAAAGCGGATCTGACAGAGACCACATATTGCTTTTAAACTCTGGCTTGAACATTTACTCTGAAGCCAACACATTACAGCACAGCCTGCAAAATATCTTTTTCTCTGCCATTAATGCAATAAAAAAACATTAAGTCATAAACCTGGAACATGAAGTAAATGTACATCCTGGCTTGTATTCAATAAAAACCGCACAGTCCTGTTCTACCATTTTTTTTTCTCCAAGACATCTGTATTTGCTGGTATCTTCAAAGAACAAATCGCTCAATTTTTCAACTTCTGTCGAAAGTTTTCTTCAAAAAGTACAACTAGACATGAAAACAACCATTAACTGGCTCACATCCTACTGCAGTGTTCTCTCTTTTGCCTTTGTAGCTTCTTTCTGTTTGAATTGTGAAACACGGTGGTCTCTTAATTAACCTTTTTCATCATTTGCATTGATTCTTAGAAATGTACATATTAATTAGCCATAGCACTGCTGCCAATTTTCATACGATTCTATAGATAGAGTAGCACCTGAATATTTCATTACAGTTCAGTTAAACTAATTCATTTTGTCTGCCAATGCTGAAACACTGCAGTAATGACTTCTCTGTGCTTAAAAAGCTGGGGTTAGCAACAGTGTTTCTTACGTACGGTTTACTGATGGCAGCTCTGCTCTGTTGCTTTATGTGGATATCCATAATGCATCACTGCGTCTTTTTGATCTACAGAAGCCATTAAGAGAAGGGTGGAGCTGGACTGGGGCACGGAGGACTCTGAGTACCTTCAGAAAGTTGAGCTCCACTCTGAAGGAGCCCTGAATGAGGTCCGACCTGACATCATTGTCTACAATGCAGGGACTGACATCCTGGATGGGGACCCTCTTGGAGGACTCTCAATATCTCCACAGGTACTGAGTCAGCCTCATCAGACTTTTTAAGATGTGCCCCAGAAGCTTCCAGCAGGAGTAGTTTTATCTGGTTTCTTTAAAGTTGACCAAAAATGGATAGCTCAAAGAAAATGTGTGTGCGTTTGGTGTTACAACGTTACATAGACTCAATGGCAGCTTGTTTGGTACACCTGTACACTCTCATGGAAGGAGGAAAGAGGCGCAGGAGGAGATAGGTGTTTGTTTCTATGCGTGTCTGGAAAGCTAAGGGATATAAAGAGCTGTAGAGAGAGGCTGTAGCAATCACAAGTATGCAAGAGTACCGGTAAGCTTTCCACTGCTGGGCCAAAAAGTGAGAGACGTTGTTCCAGACTGTAATAAAGTGAAACTAATAGTCTTGACATTAAAACCTGTTTTATAAAAGACTGAATGATTAGTTCAATCTGCAGCCTGTGATAAAATGTCAGCAGTAAATGAGCTAAAGTCCTGAAGATGATTTTTTCAAACAGTTAAGAAATATTTATTAGCTAAATTTGGCATTTCATTAAATGAGTATTGTTACCAAAATGAAGCCAAAGCTCTTTAAGTGAAGAACTGATGCATGGTCCCTTCAAAAGTAGTACATACAACTTTTTAAAGTGTTTTTATCATCCAGGTAGACACACCTGCTGTACTAAACAAAACAGGTAGGCCCCTGATTTCAAAGAATTAAGAGTTTTTACCATGGCACTACACTGAAATTACCATGGCAGTACACTGCAATTACCATGGCACTACACTGCAATTACCACGGCACTACACTGCAATTACCATGGCACTACACTCCAATTACCTTAGTACTACACTGCAATTACTATGATACTACACTGCAATTACCATTGTACTACACTGCAATTACCATGGTACTACACTGCAGTTACCATGGTACTACACTGCAATTACCATGGTACTACACTGTAATTACCATGGTACTACACTGCAATTACCTCAGTACTACACTGCAATTACCATGGTACTACACTGCAATTACCTTAGTACTACACTGCAATTACCATGGTACTACACTGCAATTGCCATGGTACTACACTGCAATTACCATGGCACTACACTGCAATTACCTTAGTACTACACTGCAATTACAATGGTACTACACTGCAATTATCATTGTACCACACTGCAATTACCATGGCACTACACTGCAATTACCATGGTACTACACTGCAATTACCATGGCACTACACTCCAATTACCTTAGTACTACACTGCAATTACTATGGTACTACACTGCAATTACCATTGTACTACACTGCAATTACCATGGTACTACACTGCAGTTACCATGGCACTACACTGCAATTACCTTAGTACTACACTGCAATTACCATTGTACCACACTGTAATTACCATGGTACTACACTGCAATTACCTCAGTACTACACTGCAATTACCATGGTACTACACTGCAATTGCCATGGTACTACACTGCAATTACCATGGCACTACACTGCAATTACCATGGTACTACACTGCAATTACCATAGTAGTACACTGCAATTACCATGGTACTACACTGCAATTACCATGGTACTACTCTGCAATTATCATGGTATTACCATGCAACTACCCCAGTACTACCCTGCAGTTACCCCTGTACTACCCCAGTACTACCGGGCCGTATTATAAAGTGTGACCCCATGAAAGTGTCTGATCTACTGGTCTGGACAGAGTGGATTTCCTCCTCTGGAAGGACACAATCTACTACTTATATGGTGTGTGTGTGTGTGTGCGTGCGTGCGTGCGTGCGTGCGTGCGTGCGTGCGTGCGTGCGTGCGTGTGTGTTACTGAATTACTCGTGTTAAGAGGAAAAATTTAGATTCTGCTTACATATTGCTGGAAAGTTGGTTAAAGGTCAAGTTTGTGTGTGCAGAGTATTTTGTACAAGGTTGAACTTTAACTTTTAACAGCAGAGTGAAATAAGTTAAAAAAAAGAAAAAAGAAGCAGGAAATGATCAATCAATAATCAATTAAATTACTACCTTATGATACAAACAGCAATCTAGGTGACATTTTTTTCTCATGTTGTTAAGGGTGATAAATTTCGAGACAGGTCATTATATCTGGTAACACCTGATAACTTTCATAGGTGAAGGATGACTAGTCTTAAAAGCTCATATCTGTCCGCAGAGAAACGCAGCACTGTCAGTCTTATCTTGGTTTGTGTAAGCACTACAAGAAGCTAATTTATCAGAAGTTTTGGAAGCACACAGAGCTGATTTGTTTTAGCCAAATTTGGATTTATTCCTTCCCGTGTGCAGAGATTTCCTCCCAGTGATCCAGAAAGTAATTGGAGCAAATAAGGGGAATCTGAAGAGGGGTAGAAGAGACAGTGCCCTGATTTCTTCCTGAGACAGTTTCAGTTTGGGGCTTTTTAAGTGGTTTGGAATTGGATAAAAGACAAAATGCTTGGTCGGTCCAGCTTTAATGATTGTTGTTTAGAGTTCTGGTTGAACATGTGTTGCTGTCATGGCTAATAAAGATTAAAACCCCTCCTTGCTCCGTAATAAATGAGTTTTTACACAAGCTGTTTCCACTTAGCAAACAGGAATGAGACACCCTGAGAAGCTCAGGGCTGCACAGAGGAGTGGTGAAATATGGTCATGTCTGCAGACCTTCATTCATTCACTCAAAGATAGAGATGTTGGCCCTCAGCATGTCAACATTCAGAGGAATAACCACTGTCAGTTTGGATTAAGTGACTTTTTTTCCCCCCTCAGGGCATTGTGAAGAGAGATGAGATTGTGTTCAGGGCTGCCCGGCGGCGAGACATCCCCATACTCATGGTCACATCAGGGGGATACCAGAAGAAAACGGCCCGCATCATCGCCGACTCCATCCTGAACCTTCACCAGCAGGGCCTGATAGGAGCAGAGGCTCTGGATGCAGAGGGGTCGTCTTCACTGATGACCAGCATGATGAGCACCTCTGGATCTGTGGGGTCAAAGTTTACAACTGTATGAGATGCTTAAATCCTGGGGTCCTCACTCACTCGCAGGTGTGTCACTAACATAAACTGTACTTAAAGGCGCTGAAGTAACTTTGTTTTGTGCAGCGGCTGAGTGAAATAACTGATGATAGCGTACTGCTGCTGTCATCATGACAAAGCCAAGCATATTTGACCAATACTTGTTTGCACATAAATGACAAAAGGGAGCTTTTCTTTTCGGTATTTTACATTTGTATGTATAAGTCGGCACTGGCTCAAAGGGAATAATTACTCAAAGAGAAAAATGGTCCTGAAACGATAACATTTTCCTGACTACAGGCAAATTCATAAGCTCTCACATGCTACAAAAGAGTCGTTCAAATATTCATTAGAAGAAGAAAAATGGCTTCTGTGTTTAATGTATCTCCTGAGCAGTGTTTTAGGGAGGTAATCTTTCATCTCAGGAAATGTAATTATGCCATTAGTGATTTGATGTATTAATCGTACATGAAATAGTAGAGAGGCTTGATCTTCTTACAGATACAGGGGGAGTTTATTAATCACCCCTCATTTCTGTAAATGGTTATGGAGGTGAAATAAAGGATAGTCTCACATAAGAGTAGTAACTCTCAAACTTAACCTGAGGGTGATGTTGAAGCCTTGTAAAAACGATGTCCTCTTTATTCCTCATTAGCAGTTTTTTCGTGGTTTTCATGAGATAATGTTGTAAATAGAGTGACGTTTACACTGTTTTTTTAATCCAAATTAGTCATTGCCATTTTGTGCTGTGGCTTTAACCCCACTGTTTTTCCAGAAATTCATCTTCACATGAAGCCTTTTATGTTTTTAGACATGGACCTAATTCTTTTTTAAATGTTAAACACTAAAACATGTGACTTTAAGCACTTTAACAAGCCAATAATGATGGAAAGTTATGTAACATTCCCAAACCCTGGAGCGTCAATGTTCTGGTCGAAGTGTGCGTGCGTGTGTGTGTGCGTGGACATTACATCAAAGTCCAGAGGCTCTAAAATGTTTAATTGTGTGATCAATGTGCACACAGAGTGGAGCTCTTCACAGGCTTTTATTTCTCTTGGTTGCAGTGGTTGGATAGAGAAAGCTTCACTAATGATGTTTACATGCACGTGCAGCAGTTGTGTTTGTGCAGTAAAAGCAGATTTCTGAACAGATAGGATCAATAAGACTCATGCTGCAGCAGCTTCAACACATCAATCACCAGACTCAAAATGAAACACATGAGAAAGATGTGATTCTACACCAGGGTTAAGTGTGTGCAGCTTAAACTTAGATATTTGAGTTTTAAATGGCGTCATGAAATACTCTTTTTTTTTCACTTCTAGCTTTATTCAGCTCTGAAAGCTTACTTTGCGTGTGATGTGTGAGACCTGATCCTAATGTGAAATATTATACAAAGACATTTGCACTTATTTCAGCAATCCTCTGTTTTAATGACACTATATAAACTGAGGGTTTTGCTGAGACCCTCGGGGGGGATACTATGAAGCAGGATTTTATTGAGCTAACTCCAGGATTGACTCTGGATTTACAGAACTATGTAGGTGGTTCACTTCTTACCACGGAAGATGACCACAGTAACTTCTGCTACACACCTAATCCGTGACTAACAACTGAGAAACCAACTCACATCAGCCCTCAACAGACTAAGGTCGCTTTCACACCTAAAAATCCAGACCACAGTCCAGTTTAGAGGGAAGAAATGATACATTGTTGTAAATAAGTTGTGGTCCAGTCGGTATTCACACTGTCATTTGTCAAAACTTACCTTTTTTGTAAACAAATCACATGCGATCTTCAGGACGTTCAGCTATTGGTCAGATAATTTGTTAGAGAAAATCCCCTTCTGTCTTTTTTTCTGTCAACAATGGAGCAGCACTAGCAGCAGCATATAGCGTTGGCTTTGACAGTTATTATATTGATACTGTGCTGCAACCAGGACAGATGGAGACGTGAACCATGACCAAAGACTGTATGACATGATTCTGAGGTGTGATAAATTATAACACGTCACCTTCCTCCTCATCTATGTTGGGCTCCTAGCGCTCACAGACCCTCCGCTTCCTATTCTCTTAGCTAGTAACACACATCCGTCTTCAACCCATGATGCACTGCTGTTTTGGTTTGCTTCCTGTATTTGGTCCTATTAAAAGTCCAGTTACGTTCTCACCTGCAGCGAACCAGACTGTGGTTCACTTTGAACTGGACCAAGTCACAACTTTAGTGGGCGACCATGGTCCGCTTGTTTGGTCAGAAAAGTCTGGGCCATGGTCTGGGGGAGTGTTCACACCTGAAACTTTTGTTCAGATCCAACTGAAAAGTCCTTAAGTCCAGACTAAACGAGGCTAGTGTGAAAGTGACCTTAGTGAACATCATAGTTGTTCGATATAAAACTGCATATGCTTATAGCTTTGAGTTATGTTATGTTATCCCCTATACTGCACTATTTAACACTGTCAGGGCTGCAGCTGAAATATTGCGTGTGAAAATGTGAGACACACCAGAGGAATAAATCAGAGCAACAAATCAGTTTCAGGGGAATAATCAGGAGTTACTGTTGTAAGGTCTTTTTGGCACTAATGATGGGAAAGGTAAATAACAGGTCTTAATTGGTGAATTTACTCTCAACATTTTCTCTTTTCATCCATCCATCTATTCATCTTTTTCCGCTTATCCGTTTCTCTCATCATATACGATTAAATTTTTCAGAATTTTCTTAATATTGTTTTCTCTATGTTTGAAAAATATTAGGATCTGCTGACTGCATGTATTTAAAACAGCCCGTTTATGTGAATGCACTCACAGTAACTCCAGTTTGACTTATCAGCGTCATGGGACTGTTCAATCGGATTTCCTTTATGCGAGTTTGTGAAGCCATATACAGTATGTAAAAGATACCGGGGGAATGTTGAACCTGGTGGCATCACCATGATTGAGTCCTGTTGTTTCAGTCAGATGAAGGTACATAGAGTGCCATCCTCACATAGAGCTTAACAGCCAGCTAGATGCATCCGTAAATATGATGACTGATCAAATTGATCTGGTGCAGACATTCAGGACACTCTCTAATCTGCTTATTTGGATGAACAGTCCTCCTGTTTTAATTTGTCGCTGGCAGACCGTCACACTTTGCAGTGGAGAACTGGAAGGAGAATAAAGTGTTGAAAGCAGCTTCTGAATGGTAGCTGTGGGCTGGATAAATGACACAAATTGTAACTGAATCCTTTCACCGAGCTAAACAATCCAGGGTTGCCAAACTTCGTTGGTGACAATAAAATGAAAGGGTATATGATCATCTAAGCAGCAAGTGTTTGAAGGGTTTTTTAAAGTGTTTATCTGCTGTCCTCTTGAGGGCCTGTCTGAGTTTGTGACTGGTGTTGTTGTTCTTGAATCAGAATGTGTCAGCACATTGCCACCGTGTTTGTGTAGCTCAGCAATTATCCTGGTGAAAAAACACGTTAGAGGTTATAATTAATGATAGAAGTGAGAGCCACTTGTAAAAACACTCTTGAATTGTCCTGCTGTTTGAATGTGGTTTTAGTAGAGTCAAGTTCCTGAAGTTCATTTGTTCAGTTCAGGGTCACAGCTGTGATACACCTCGTCAGAGCCGGAGCTTGTCAACAGGCAAGGCAGGCAGTTGCTTGGGACCCCAGGCCACTAGGGGGCCCCCAAGGGCTGACGGGCCTCAGTTCATGAAAATGTCCTGAAATTTTGCAACAATTAGAGGTCAAATTGCAATGACATCTTAGACGGATACCCCCCCTTAAGGGGCCCCATGTCATCCTGTTGCACTGCTACATGCCCTACGTCCATCTTTACTGAAGTATGTCAATCAAAGTAATGTCAAAATCAGCCGTGAAGTGAAGCTACTTATCAGGGAGTGAGAAAAGAAAAAAGCAAAGAGAAAGAAATAAGGAGAAAGCAAGACAGTGGTAAGTGGAGTAGATAGAGAAGTGTGGCAAACACTTTAACTAGCATTAGGTGTAAGTCTGGCAATGAATTGTTTGGTAGGTAGTTAGCCATGTCAGTGAAGCCTGGGGTTCCTGCTTTGTTGACTTGCTGTTACTGTATGTTTAAACGAAAGTGCACTTGTAAGGTACAACACTGAAATTTCACCAAATTAACTAGAACACCGTGAGCGGAGTGATTTGGACAGAAAAAACAGGTAACCCAGACAACAACTGTCACTGTTAATGAAACACTATTAATGACAGTTGTGTCTTAACTAGCCGATATTTATATTTACACAGTGTGCTTTCTGCATGAAAGACTATCAACTTTGAAGCATTTAACAAACTGAATTAAGTCTCAGACATCAAATCTTAGAACGAGGGTGAAGTGCTGGTTGTATTGGTAAAAACATACCAGAGCTGTAGCTATTTTGGTGCAATATTTTCAAGTTATATAGTAATAATGATAATTGCTTTAAAAAATTTTCTGTCCTCTTTTGTTGGTTTCAGATCATTTATACGTTTAATGCTTGTCAGAGGGGCCCCTTGAGAATTTTTGCTTGGGGCCCCAGCACACTAGAATCGGCTCTGCTCCTTATGAGTAGTTTGGAAATCTTGAAGAGAGAAGTAAGACTCAACAAAGCTGTTGACCAAAATAGAAAAGATGTTTATGTTGCTGTGAATGTGGCCAAAGGGAACTTTTAAATCTAAAAGCACATCTTCTGTGGACTGGGTCTGCCATTGAATTCCACGTGTTTACAGCTGAGTGGACCTGAAGAAGCAGCTGGCAGGTGCTGCTGCATTGACTCTCTAATGTTTTTTCACTCTCATTATATCTTCCTCTGCTCTGGCCTCACTCTGCTGTTCAAAAAAAGACCCCATAGTTGGATATGGGATGATTTGACGGATCTTTGAACAGCATGAAAAGCTGTGTTTGGGTGCTCGCTCTGGAAAATGTTTGGACACACTCATAAAGAAACTGTGAAAGGTATGCTATATTAGTAATGGCAGTGCTAATTAGCTCAAGCTTTTGATCTTGTGTGCTACTTTTGAATTCGGCTGAAAGGTTTGGAGCAGTCTACCTTTAATTAGAACTTAAAATATATATCATTTATTTAAGCGGGCCTCTTCTTCTTATTACTGATGCGATTGCAGATTCCAGCTCATCAGTACCTTTAATTTCAACCAGCAATTCTGTCATTTTAGCTGTGCCAAAATAATACTGAAGTACTGAATATTCTCTCAGTCTGTGCTGTTTTCTTTTTGTTGGTTTGTTTATTGTTTTACAAGAGGGTGGGGGTGTACTGACATTAAAAACTACTTCTATGCATCTTAATGATTTTGAATAAATCCATTGAAAAAATTGAACTGTATGTGTCTTTATTAAATCTTGGAATTGCTTTTTCAGTGCTGGTACGTCGGTGAAATTGTATTTTTCTTCTGTACTTCTGTTCTAATCTTCATATCAATCATTTATCCGCCTTTTCACACCACATTCGAACACCAGTGGTTTCACGTTAGCCCCCAGCACTACTTACTAGTCTAATTTGCACACTATTGTGTGCCTGTAACAGTTCAGGAGAGAGAAAGATGGATTCTTTTAGCATTTTGAAATAATCAGCACCATCCCTCATAAGGCCAACATCACCGTCACCTATTCTAAATAAATAAATAAACATGTTTGTCTCATCCTCAACTAGAAAAGCACTTGGAGAGTGCAGACCTCCACCAAGCAGCTCATATCCCCCCTTAAACAAGAAATGCCCTGACCAGGAAAACCCACGACCCTCTGGTTGTGAGGCGACAGTGCTAACCACTACACCACTGTGCCACCTATATACACCACTGTGCCGCCCATTTGTTATGTTTCAGCATTGAAAATTCCAACGATACCCTTATTTTTGTGTGTTCTGGATCACAGTATCCAGAATTTTGTCCGGATCACCACCAAAATGTAATGGGATCCTCCTGGGGCTGAGACGCACCTCTGGTGAAAATTTCAGGTTAATCCGTCTGTTACTTTCTCCGTAAAGTTGCTAACAGACAAACAAACAAACCAACGCTACCGAAAACATAACCTCCTTGGCGGAGGTAATAACAACATATGAAATCCAAAACAGTTACTGGCTCACACAGAGTAATGTGGCTTAATGTTGCTTTTGAAAGAAATCTCAGCTATGTTTTTAAATCTGCTGAAAACTCCACGGACGTGACGTCATGTCAGTGCTGGTGGGTTGATGGTACTGCCCATGGAGCCGCCCACTGGCCTGTCCAAAAAATGATCTAAACACCGCCATTATTCCCGGCCGCTCGCTCGCATAGCTCCGGTTAGAACCGTGGCGAAAGTGCGATCTGAAAAAGAGGCAGCGTTTGCTCTGTTGTTGGCTGCACAAACGAGCACAAAACTCTTTTGAAAACTCCCTCGTCGGAGGATTTGAGGACTCAATGGGTGGATTTTATTTATAATGGGAATGTACCCGCGGCACTTCCAACATATCTGTACGTATGTGCGCACCATTTCACTTCGGACTGTTTTATCAACGAGGGACAGTTCAACGCTGGATTTGCTAGATGTCTGAAGATAAAGAATGGATCCGTACCAACTATCCGTGATCCTACTACAAACGTGGCATCTGTAAGTATGAACTTTTTATTTTGACCTACTGTTCAGCCCCCCCGGTGCCTCAACACGGCCACCACGCTTTGATAAACTCACCGGATCCGCGCCGGTTTACCGGATCCTCCCGTTTTTTAGCCGCTCGCTTCTTCCCCGACAACTCCGGCGGCGGGGGACAAATCCCCCTCCGGAGCAGCATGTAGCTTCAGCATTTACCCGTGCGGCGACGCGCCTCTTTTGGCTCAAATACGGGACGTCCCGGCTTAGCGTGACCCTCCTGGCGGCTTTGAATAATACATAGGATGTGACGACTAGGTCGCTTCAAGTCGCGTTTGGTCTGAACGCGGCTAAGAGTTTCTTCCGGAGCCTCGCCCTCTGGGTCAGACTCTGGCTCAAACTGGTAGGGTTGTACGAGCGATCTTCTTGCAGCCATGACCGAGCCAGTGTAAACATTAGCACGTGGCTATCATCTGTGGAGGGGGTGTCTAACTCAGTGTTACAGTGTGTTTGACCACAACTTAATTTTACGTCGCAATATCCCTTTAAGCCATACACATTCAGATTGGTTTTGAATAAAAGTAGCATCATTCTTTGCAAGTTACACTGTTGGTTTCAAATAATAAGTGGTAAAAGTTTAAAGTTTTCGGATCCTTATAATTATGGAGTTTTGCACAAATGATTGTCATCAGGTCAGAGGAGGTCCGGAGGCTGCAGAGAAACCCTGCTGAAGATAGAGGCTATTTTCTGGCAGACCTTGTCTTGACCTTAAACATGCCTAGAGTGAGACGGTTATGAGTGTGTTTTTATTGCTTCTCCTCCTCGAGCCCACACAGTCCTGAGAACGGGAGTATGGTAATCAGGTGGAATAAGAAACACCTGTGTGGGTGGATAATGGGTGTGAGGTCTCTTACTTATCTGCATGTTTATGCTGTTTTCATTTCCCAACTGACAAGCAAACTACACTTTATGAACAAAGCAGGGCAGGAGCAGAGCAGGGATTCTGATTGGAAAATAAATCAGTCACAACGAGCAGCTGTGCAGACAAATAAAACGTGGTTACAACATGCAAGAATGCTCATTTTTCTGCCAGTGCCTGATTATGCACAGTTTCAAAATAAGACTTTTGAACACAGCATGTTACGAGCTTGAACAAGAACTACTTCAAACACTTTTGCCTTAAGGTATGAGAGGAAACCAGTTACACCAGTGATCTCATTAGTAACACTGTGTATTATTAGTGCACATTTTAGGATAACACATGTGTTGTATTAAAATGAAGTCTGGAGGTTATCAAAAGGAGCGCTGGGATGCAATCAATCCTCCTTAGAGAAGGATGAAGTTGTCATTGTGTCCACCCACAGATAGACTGACAGATAGACTCAGAGAGCTCATCATGACAACATAATTCCAAGAAGGCCATGTAGTGTGCTGGTGGGACAAAGAAACCTTGCTCTAAGCTTCATTAAACATGATTCTCTGGCTGTGTGCCTGGCTTCTTGCTGCCGTCTTACCTCAAATGAACTGCTTCAGGGCTCAGCTGGACGGTGGCCGAGGCTGTCGAGTGTTTGCTGTCTGGCTGCTTCGAATGGGATGTTTTCACCAAAGCGAGACATAAACAGCCCAAGAAAAGGCATCCCAGTCTGACCAGGCTGTTTTGGAACCTTACAACAAGTTAATGAAAGCTCTGCTCAACGTGTTTACTTTCATGGATAGCTGTGGTAATGAAAGTTTCACGAGCTATGGCCAGATTAAAGGAACTCTTAGTCAATGTAGGAATGCAGCATTTTGAGTCATATTGGTCAGCCAACATCTGTCTAAAAAGTTTTGTTCCATGGATTAAATTATTCTACCTTAAAGGGATATTCTGGCGTAAATTTAAGTCATGGTCAAACACACCGTAACACCGAGTTAGACACCCCCTCTTCTCACTTGCTTCTCAACTAGTGACACCAACCTCAGCAAAGACCGCACGATAGCAATACACAGCGGTCTATGTCTCCACACAAAAACCTCAACCAAAAAGCCACTCGTAGCCGCAAATAATACTCAGAACAGCACCTAACTTCATCAACAGTACATAAAGGGTCTCAGCCACAGTACTAGCTGTCAAAGATCTTTTTAGCTTTGCCTGTTTTTTTAGCAAAAAGACTAAACACAACTCACCCACTCTCCTCCAGCAGCCGCTTGTTTGTGGGGGAGCCCTGACGAGTCAATCACCGAGTGCAGTAGAGTTCTGCAGCTCAAGGGCGAACATTTCCATGAAGTAATAATCATAAATTTATTTGTTGCTATTGAGTGGCTTTTTGGTTGCAGTATGCACGTGGGGATGTAGACCGCTGTATGTTGCTTAAATTGGTAGAATTAGAGAAGCAAGCAGTCGGCAACATTAATCTCCCAAGGGGTTGTCTAACTTGGTGTTACACTGCTTTTGACCATAACTTAAATTTATGCCGGAATATCCCTTCAAAGTGCTAATCGTTCCAATTGCTTATCTTTACTTAACTGCATTTAGTACAGATTGGCAAAAATTAGCATGCCAGCATGTACAGCTCAGAACATAACAGCACAATACTTGGTGTCTGTGGACTGAACATCTACGTCCAAAAACTCCTAAGTGTTTAATTTTGTGATCAATGTGTGGACCTCAGGAGAAAAGCTTTGCATGGGTTTCTTTTCTTTCTTTCATCATAGCCTATCATGTAGCTTTTACTACAGTCATTACTTCCTCCCAACCAATCACAAACGCAGACCCAGGTATGCTACGGCACCAAGCTGCATCAACGCCAACACAGTATAGACTCAACAAAGCAGATGTTAAACACAGAGTTTTACACAGGACATTTTTGTGAGTGTAGTTAACTTCAGTGTTTGAGTTTTAAAGGGCACTCCTGTTTAATCAAACCAAACTCAATAATTCCCATTTGTGGCTTGATATATTTCTCCATGTTATTTTAAGAGATCTCATCATCACACCTTATTGTAGCACTATATCTGGCCATCAACAGTAACAACTGCCATTGTAAGCATATTGCTGTCTTCTGCTAGCATTCATTACAAATGAACACAAAGATAAATAGATAAAAACTTCTCAGATCTGCGAGATATAAAAAGGTTAACTGGGCTAGCTCTCAAAGTTATACAACTTTAGTGAGGTATTTTCTTCTGCTCTACTCCAGCCTTTCACTGACCGACCACAGCAATCAGCAAGAACTCCTAGAACAGGCAGCATCTGACTAAAATATAGAGTGGACTGCATTAAATAGGCTCTCTCTACTCTTTCAAATAGTAAAAGTGCACATAAACCACATTTAAATCCTTTCTAACTCACAAACAGGATGGCAACAGAGGTTGCTCTGCCCATCAGTAATACTTCACACCCTGCAGGTTGTGTCTTTGAGGCAATCTGGGGTCAAGTGTCCTCTGTCCACTGAGCCACAGATGCAAGCCCTCTCTGTTTATATCACCTACTTAGCTTGATGCTTTTTGTTTAGTGCCAGAATGGGTACACCCTCAAATGTTTGCAAGAGCCAAGCAGAAGATAAAGTCATGTACTAAAATCAAAAAGGTTCAGTTGAATGATTGAGATGCCAGGAGCACGACTTCACCAACATAACCCCCATGATTGTATCCTGACTGAAAATGTGTCTAGGATGGAGAAATGGCTTGAAAAGTCCAGGCCTAGTGTGAGGCTGACATTAGTCATGCTTCAGTCGCTGTCCAAATAGTCCCCAACCCTTAACCCTTAA